ACTACTCCTACTACCACCACCACTACCACCTCTACTCCTTTACAACTACTGTTACTTTCCATATTGCTAATACCGCTACGAGTACAGCAACCTCAATGAGTACAGCCCCCCTTCGTACATACCGTATAAAGAACTCCCAAGACCTATTGTGCTGGTGTCGGACCGCTCTGCATGTATTGTTTGATCTGCAGCATGTACCGTCAGACCTGATCTTTATACCTGATCGTGCTTCGATCATCACCACTATTCTTTGCTGTTCAAACCTTGCCGTCATTGCTATGGGTACTGGTACTGTGCTGCTGCTGCTGTTGTTGTTGTTGTTGTTGCTGTTTTGGTCGTTGCCATTCATTGTGCTGAAACTAGTGTTGTTGCTTGCTTGCTTACCGTGTAGCTCCTGCTGATTCGATATGACGTGATGAGTAACGAGCTGCACTAGAACTATCTTTGCATCCGATCGGAATCAGCATGGATAGTCACTGCGAGTCTTGTTTTGACATTGCAATACCTGTGTTGCTCTGCTCCTAATCGATCTTTTTATGTCTGTTGCAACTGATAGTCACTGTGTAATCACATTCGGGTACCTCCGTCGGACCTATCACAGGTTGGCTTTCAGTGCTTCGGGGCGTGGCAAGCTCACTTGTTGTGCAACATTCCTGAAACCTTCCACCCGCAATCCGAAAGCCTCAGAACATGACAGATGATGATAGCCCAAGCCGGCGCTGTTCCACCACTAGTTCAACTCCTGGAACGGGCATCGCCGGAACTGTGCCGCGGAAGCAAGCAAAGCGGTGAGTTTTTTTGGGTGGAGTGCGCCTGAGGAATCGAGGGATTGGTGAGACATCACGATTTCAGCATCCATAACCCCAAGCCAACTGCTCAACCATAGCAGCCATGATATTCCTATATTCGATCTTGTAGCTGGACCCTGCTCAAATCCACTCACCTAGGAGGGAAGCTGGGGCCTCTGCGCTGCGAATGCTTGCCACGAACAATGCCGACAACCAGGCGGGGGACAAGCAAGCCGCAATTGCCCAAAGGTCGATCCTGGTCTCAGGTCTACTACAGGATGGTGTAAGAAGAGTTGCGAACCCCGTGTCCCTTTGTTGTGGGGGGACACCCCGCTGCCTCGTGGAGCTTCGGTGGTCCGGCTTCCGGATCCATCCTCGAACAGCAGAGGCATAAGAACTCCAAAACCTGAATTTTAAGCCGCAGGCCCAAGACTCGGATAACTAAAACTGCAGAACTTTAAGCCTTACATGCCTACAAGCACGGCGTGCAGCAGCCTTCTTGTCCAACATTGTATCGCACAGCCGAAAGAGCCGGTTCGAGTTCTGGAAAGTTCTTCTCGAACAGTTTGGATTCTTAGTTGGAGGCTGACCGGCTGCGATCATGTAGTGGCAGATTGATGAGAAGTATTTAATAGCAGTTGTGATTGTCGCTTTTGTAATCGCTAACGTCGTTTTCTTTTTGGCACCGGCAGCAGCAGCAGCAGTGGGAGCAAGACTACTGGGTACTAGTTGTGGTGGCGGCACTGGCTGTAGTCCTCGTCGTTAACTTCGTAGCACTGGGCTTGTCCAGAGACTGCGGGGAAGCTTTCAGTACCTGTGTTAGGCAGCTCGATGCCACCATCTTGCCCGAAGCTTGTCACTCCCGCAGCCCCGAAACCCTGCCCGCATTGTAGAAAGATGCAGAGCTTTCCCAACTGCGGAGACAACTGCCGAGGGCTTCCGTCATGAGCCCTGCGGGCTTGCAGGTGGCAGTGGCCCATGCAGGAGCCATCCGTCCTTTGGTTCGCCTTCTCTACGACGAGATGCGCGGGAACCCGGGTTTAGAGGAGCTTTCGGCATGCACTTGCTGCTGGACTCTGGCTATCAAGGCTCCTGCTAGCTTTCACCCAGTTTGGGCTGCCTGGATCCGAAAGACCGACTCCCCAAAAGATGCAGCGACAAAACCATTGAAAGCAGGAAGCAGGCTTACAAGGAAGCTTACACGAGGAGCGACGACAACAACAGCAGCAATAGCAACCAGCATGCAACATCGAGGCAACTCTGAAAGCCCAAACCGAGAGACTCTCAGGGCCAGCGTCCGGGAAGAGGCGGCTGCGGCTTTGGGCAACCTCGTCTTTTACAACGACGAGACGAATGCTGGAAATCAGGCCTGCACAATAGACCTGAACTAAAACCCTGTAGCTGCCTAGTAAACATGTACCATTTGTGAAGCTCACAGAACTCCGTGCCATGCTTCAGGGAAGCGGACGTAATACACATCGTCCCCAGCTATCTGTTTGTCAGTGAAAGGAAATCTATCTAATCCATAGTTAGAGTGCGTACGAAGACAGATTGAAAGATGCGCAAATTGGTTATGCGGGGTAGTGTGCTGCTCCAAATGGAACCACACGGATCTTCCTACTGGCTGTTTCGGCTAAGGCCGCTCTATGCCTGAATGCTACCTCAAATGGCTTTTGCCTTGCTGTCATGGAGGCTAGATACTTTACTTGTGTTGTGGTCGGAACTGGTTCTCCGTTCGAAAAACAAACCTTGCCGCATGGGTGTCGGGGATCTGTAAGCAACTCTGTCGTTTCCAGATTAAAGCGCATCCCATGTAACAGCACGTTGTGTTCCAGCGCATGCGACAGATTAGTTAGCTGCGCTTTGGTCCTGGCCATCAAAAGTGTATCGTCCGCGTATTCTATGTCCGAGCTCGGAGGGCGCGCGATTGACCAAATGTTACGTGCTATGCCTTGTGTTCGTAAGTCCCAACGACGTCTTCCATAATTTCTGTTTTGACCACGATGAGATACGGGCTTAACGGACATCCCTGTCTGATGCCTGCTCCTACGGTGTGGTCTTCAGGGCCTTTAGTGAAGAATGTGGGGTCTGTGTATATGGATCGGATTACCTCTAAGGATTTCTCGATAGGCCAAACTTCTGCAAGGCTATGATCATGGCGTTGTGGTCTGTCAAAGGCCTGCTTCCAGCCCAAAAAGACATAACATAGCCGGCTATGCTTTACTCGGCCCATTCCGTAGATCTTCTCAAAATAAACAAAGGGTGGGTGGTGCCGCGGTGTGGTCTCAGGAGTTGGCCAGCAGCTGCACTTTAGGGTCAGCGTTTGGGTTCCCTGAACTGGCCTTGAACCAGCCTACTATCTATATATATATATATATGTATGTATGTATGTATGTATGTATGTATGTATGTATATATATATATGCATGTAGAGAAAAGCCACAACAAATGAACGATCCTAAAATTTCCTTCGTCAGGCCGCCATTGCCGAAGCCGGGGCACTGCCGAGACTTGGAGCTTTGCTCCAGGACAAGGCAAAGAAGCGAAGGTGTTGGTGTTTTGGGCTGTTGGTATTTGCGGGCGGGGGCTTTGGCTGGCACTCATGTAGGTGTGTGGTGCCTCAAGGAGTTGGTTCACAAAAGAGGTTTCAATAATCAGTAACAGTGTTGCGGCCATCTGGTCCCTCCAATGTCAATCAAAATTACCGAAGGCTCCCATACGAGGCGCTCCGGAGATCACCTAACCTTCAACCCCAGTTGATGAAAAATCTGAAACCGAATCCCAAGACCCAGACCGCTCAACCATTCAAGCCGTTACACTGTGAAAACTCGAAGCCTTGAAAAACTGCAAATCCAGCGACAGGCTTGAGCCCAGCAAAACCTTGGAAATTTGTGGTAGGCCGCGGCCGTTGCCGAGACTGCTGCTGGGGCCCTGAGGAATTTGGCGGCGCAGAATGCGGCCAACCAGGCAAAGGGTTTTGGGCTTCCTGGAGTCGACGGTTCAGGTGTCCAAAGCTGTCTCATGAAGAGACGTAGAAGCCTTGAATAGTCACGCAGTCATTCAACTCAGCCCATTGACGTTGCACAAACAGTTTTTGTTTCAAGTCTCAACTACTGCTTTATCATCCGTTGCTTTCCAAAGGAGGAGCCGTGTTTGTAGCCAACGTCATCAATTGTGTGGTGTGTCTGAGTAGTACTTCCGACCTGCATGATGTCCTTGTGTCACGAAATCAAGCCGTCCGCAACCAGACCACATCTCGGCTGTTCGACAATCGCAAACAAAGCTGCCTCACGTTTGCAAACCTTGCCTCGTCTGACCTCCTTGACTCCAAACCCTCTCAGCGCAAGCCCGAAGAAAGACACCCCAAAGCAGCTACAACAGGATTCCGTCTGCCAAAGCGACGCCCTTCGGAGCCTGGTGGGACTGCTGAAGGAGTCGCGAGAGCCCAAGGTGCAGGCGAGCTTTGGGATTGAAAAACCTGGTATACACGGTTTTGGGCTTGATGCTGATTTTGGGGTTGTGCGATATTTTAAGGCTTTGGAGATGTGTTTTTGTTGAACGGGGGGTTTTCGAGGTTCTGGTTTCGTGTTTGATGGCTGGCACGAGCGCTGAGAGGCTTCCTGGGCAGGCGAGTTGAGACACACGCTGGAGCCCCTTGCCATCGGGGGAATAGCAGGAGTCCTAAACAAGGAGCCCCAACCTTCAAAAGTTTTTAACCGTCGTTGCTGTGCGGTGAGTATGGGCGGGGTTGGGCACAGGGACTGAGTTGCTATCCATCCATACAAAGGGAGCACATGATGCACAACCCCCAAGTTGTGAGCCGGAGGGGGGCTACAAGGACCAAGAACTAGGAAAGAGAAAGGCCTTAATCATCACGACGAATGCAGGTCGAAGCCGCAGGAGCCATCCACAACTTGGCAGGGGCCCCTTCCGGTTTGGGAATTTCGCGGCTTCAAAGTTTGGGACTGTGCCGAAAGCTTCCGGATTCCGAAGCCCTGAACTTCGTGAACACTCCAAGCCGAACCCTTAGCTTTTAGCAACTTGGTGTAAAAATCATGCACGGCGAAGCCAGACTTGGGTCGCTCCAGCTTTTAGGTTTTTCGGCCTGCCAGACTGCAAGGCCTATGAAAGCGTAGAGAAATGAATCGAACTTTCGTTGATACAAAACATCCTTGAAGCGACATGCCAACTCTTGTGTTTGATCGAGGCCCTCATCTCTGAAGCAAGCATAAAAGCAGCTGTACTGAGGCGGCTGGAAACACCAGATGCCAAGGAAAGATTGTGGAGGTCCCATGCACAGATCGTCCTGCATTGCTGTCAGCGATTGAACCACCAGTATTCTATGTGCTGAGACAAAAAGCACAGCAGAAGATGCAGCGACTGAGCCGGAAAAGCTTATGCAAGCAAAAAGATTACTGCAAATGTCATGATCATGTTCGTCTTCATCGTCACCATTGCCATCAGCAGCAACATTGATGCAGTCGAAAGCTGCGGGATCTCCTCCGGATAAGCCCACGCAGAGGCTGGGGGATTGCAGCCGCTCGTCTCGCTGCTGAAGGAGGAGGAACTTCTGCGGGTCAGGGCTTGCAGTTCGCTCAAACCCAAAGCCTTCGACTCATGCTGAGCAGAGCCAGAACTGGCTTCACGGCTTGACTTTGGGTTTCGGGCTGCTGGTTCAGTCAGGGTTTTTGTAGGCAACATTGCTTTCAAGCACGTGGCTTTCGGCATATCGCTGAGAGGATTGACGGTCCAGAAACCATCCTTAAAAACGAAACTTCAAAAGCCTGCACGTCTCGAAAGTCTAGAAGGCTCCACGAATGCGCGAAGTTGCGGCGGGAGCTTTGTGGGCCTTGGCGAGGCTCGCCCCTTTCTGGATGTGTCTTTGGGTTCCTTTCTTGTATGGCTTCTGGGATTTGTGGGTTTTTGGTTTGGAGGCTTTTCGGGTCTTGGTGCTTTTCTTGTTCCCATGACCCGCCTGTGTCCAGGATTACCTATTAGCTGGTCCTTGAGGCAGGAGGAATGGATGCACTGGCTGCCATTTCTGAGCCCTCTACAAGAAAGCAATGCCTTAATGCAAGAAGCGTCAACATTGCTGGAACTGCTGAACCTGAACCCGAAAACGAAGTATATCGAAAACCCCAAACCACACAATCTGCTTCCGCCCATCCGAAGCCTTGATAAGCCAAAACTTCCGCCAGGGATAATCCGGAGCTTCAAAAGGCCATCGATCGATCGGGCAACATCTATGCCGAGCATTTGCCCAAAAGACATCCAAAAAATTGAATGGTTCTCATAAAAACAGGTTTTACGGTGATGACGATGATGATTAAATTCGTGTCGTTTTGATTCAATTTATTCGATGCAAAAGAGATTTAAACAGATTTTCTTCGTTCTTCAATAAATGTATATTCTATCTTAGATAGTTTGTTGACAGAAAAAACGACTTCTGCTGTGAAATTTTCCGATTATATTTATAAGAAATAAGATTTCAATTTCTTTATCGAAATTTTTAATAATAAGGAATTGATATTTAATATTTACGCAGAATTTTGAGAGATATTACGAGAAAATTGAAGACTTATAATGTATAATTTATTAGAATTAGAGAGGTCTCGTTATTTCTATTAACAGATGGTATTGTAGGCGATCGATATATTTCTTTTGGGGCGTAGTAGTAAGTCTTCTAGCGACTCATGAGAAAATCTGCTAAGTAGCGATACGAAAAATACATAGTAAGATTTATATTCACATTAATATTAATTTTTTAACAAATATTAGCACGTATATTGTTATGGTTGTTAGTATTAGTATGACTATAAATTCTTTGATTTGATATGGATAATTTGTTGAATATACTAGTATTAAATTATTATAGTACGTATATTTAGTCGAATACGATTACATATTTATATATATATTCGTGTATGTAAATATATATATCGTTAAAATAAATAAATAAAAAATATTGAATATATTAAAATATCTATATATTGATATATTTATATTTTTATATTTATCTAGTTATTAATGAACTAAGATATTATTTTTTTTATGAATGATTACGAGTATGTTAATATATTAATAAAAGAATATTATAATATGCAAAAATATATTGATATATTAAGATATTATTATACCAATATAATGATGAATTTATAAGTTATTAGATTAGTATATAGATATAATCGTATATTAATATACTAATATAAGATTATATAT